ACAGAAAAAGTGTGATCTATTGTATTCCAAGAACAAACAATAGAAAAGATATTCAAGTCTAGCATTATTATTAGAGTAGCCACATTGAGTTTTCATATTCCCTAAAATAGTTCCATCAGGTTGGTAAACTAAAGGATGCAAATGTTCTGATTTACACAACCAATTTATTTTGCATCCTGAGTTTTTTTATTACTTACAATAAACCTTTAGGGCAAGAATTCGGAAAAATTCTATTCTGTCATTGCACTACGACCCATAAAGTTAGTGCCTCATGCTCTTAAAGCCATCTTTAAAGCCATTTAAGTGGCGTCGGGTGGTGTAGTGGTTAGAGCAATCGACTATGAACCGGGGAGACCGGTTCGATTCCGGGTCGTACCCGGTACATGTCTGAACATGCGCCCCGACGTTGTGCCCTTGGGAAAGGCACTTAACACGACTTTCCTCACTCCACCCAGGTGTGAATGGGTACCTAACTTCGGTTGGGGAAAGCCGTATTGAGGTCACCTTGTGGCGCCGAATGGCAGCCGCACAGACCCTTGCGACAGTTCCACAAAAAATAATTGTGGAACAAATATGTGTATCATGCGTATTATTTGATTGTTGTAATTGTTGTGATTTGTGTTGATGATTATTATGTGATACCCTGCATCAATCCAGCCGTATAAAGGCTGCGACTGCACGGGTACTGTTTGGACAATAAAAAAAAATTATTATCTTCATGTTTTTAGATGTTGACCTACCGAACACGTAGAAAGGTGTTTGCCAGGCCAGTCTTTGCGTTATGAAGCCTGTTGCGAATATTCCAAGGAACTGGCCAACGTACAATGCTAAAGAAATTTGAAAAGCAAAATACAATAAGAGGTTTAGGAAATTCAGTTTTCCCTTTGCAAAATTACCTTAAACTTAAGACAGGCATATCATAAAGGATAATCATAATCCTTAACTATACAAATTAGCCTCTTTTACATAAGTATATTAGTTTTCGGTCGTCACTAAATAAGTTTTTCATAAAATTTAATGTTTTTGACTAAATTTCATGCCATCCACAAATAGCTATGTATTGCAACATTAATTCATATAACACACACTACTCTAAACTTTGTATTTACTGATATTTTTCAAGATTTTGATTAAACATAACCCTCTGACATATTACCTGCAAAGATGTAAGGTGAAACTCCTGCACTCTGCTTTGGTGTCAAGTGTTGGCTAAGCACGCCGTAAGCAGCGGGCTCGCATAGTCCCTGTTACAAGAGGAGACAATAAAGCGACAGTGCTGACAAATATATCAAGTATAATTTTGGTGAGAACAGTGATAAATGATTACATAATAGAATAAAAAAATTCACTGAATGAGATAACGTGTTACAATATTCAGAAATATTATTACATAATATAACCAAAATTTAAAACAGACTTGACCCAAACACTCAAAAATTCAAGGCATCTAAATCAAACTGTTGGTATGCTATTACTAATAAATATCGTTGATCTGAATTGATATTAAAACTCATCATTGTCTCCCAATTTAAATCTTGAACCAGTATGTGTCAAATCACTTGCCTGTTTTGTAGTTTATTGTTTTCGTATTAAACACAATCCTTACCTCTACCAGACCTGCCACAACACGTTGGGTTATTGCCGTCTCAAAGCGACCGAACATAAAAGGCGCAACACAGTGAGCAATGGAGCTTGCGCCGATGGAGGCCAGGAAAATCCTGAAAATTTAGCACTATCGGTTAATGAATGAATGAAGACCTTTGTTGTACATTTTGCCCCACTGGGCTAAAGACAGGTCACACATTGACAAAGTACATCATCAATGTTGATAATAAAAGCGGCTATAGTACACAAGTACGTTCAACTTCCTCTCGCTTTCTGGTAATGTAGTTGGCTGTATGAGTAGTTAGAGCTGGTTTGTTAAAGACTACAAGGAATATAAATTTCTCAATACTATTCAAATACTTAAATTGGGAGTATTTGATTGACACAAAATCGAAAAGATCGTTTCTTTCGCTGTCATACATGGAACAATCCACAATAAAATGTACCTCGTCTTCTACTTAATAAAAATGAGCATTTTCTCAATTGCTATCAAACCATTTTATAACATACAACTGAGGCTATGATATTATAGGAGTCTACAAATCTCTTGTTTGATTTTGTTTCCATTCAACCTTTTGTATAATTTAAAGCAAAACCACCAATTGTACACAAAATAAATTCTTTAACAAAAACCCTCACCTCATAGCAGAATATCGATAGGCCAGATAACCCCCGATGAAACTTGAGGGCAGCAGGCCAATGTAGACTGAACTCAGTATCGCACCAACTTGGAACTGGCTGTACTGTATCTGGGACTGTTGAAGAAATACCAACAGAAATTTTTATTGCTATTTTTACAGAGGGTGTGAAGAATAGGTATCACTGGTCAGTTCAACTAAGCTCGACAAAAAATGTAAAACATTATCAAAGGAAGACACTTTTAAATATATCATATCATGTAAAAATATAGACGTCATCAATGAAGTATGTAAGTATATTTCAAAATGTTTCAAAAAGAGAGAAGAAGCCATTAGAACTTAGATATATGCCACTTTATATATATATTTCTTCTTCTTTAGCATTGTATACCTTAGACTGATGTTTGCCTTTCTATATTACCATTGTTGTAGTACATTCTAGTACATTGTACTCTGTACATCTGTGCATTTATCCCCCCGGGGAATGAACATGCAATAAAGTTTCAATATGTTAAACATAGAACTAATAGTAGTTTACGTAAAATTATAGCAGAACGATTATTACATATGCATACATTATGTATTGGCCGTATTTACTCCTACTACATGTATTTGAGTTCAGGTTATAATTACAACGAGCAAAAATCAATCAGGGTGTCAATATATGTGCTTATATATTATGAAAAAAAAGCTACACATAGCTTACCTTAGAGACACTCGTGTTCGTCTTGTTCTCTGGTGGCATCTGTAAATCCACCAGCACAACAGACACACTGCTCCGTCCTGCGTACTGAAATAGAATCCCACAGAAGAGAAGAACACACAGCAATTTGCTGGACGAAGGTATGGCGTCCGTCGAATCGATGTCTGCCATCCTGAAAAATACTGTAGTCTGTTTTATTTCTATACGATTCTCCATTGACGCTCGGTTATGGTCTCATTCATGAGTTTTTTTCCATACATTAGAAACCATGCATTAATGAGTGACTTACGAGACCGTGTTCCCTATGATCCTACATTAAATCAATTGATATCTTTCATGCTATGTTGAGCACACTTACTCTACGTCTCATAAAAAAATTGCCAACGACTACTATACACACAATCCACTTTTATAGGAATTACAAACTGCAATTAGCGGCTGCCCGCAAGTGGCCCTCCCGCGCTGCAAACCTACGACCGCACAACTCACAACAATGGACTGTGCACGTCCGACCTAGCGCGCGGCTGCCGACAATTATGTCCTAATTTCATCAGTTACAAACAAGCTTTCACCGCTTTGACGTTTTACATCAGTTGGGATGGCTAAAGGGAAAATTCTCACCAATAAAAACACTCGTTCATACAGCCGTTTAGTTTTTGACTTGGTACCCTTTTAGGGAGACCTTATTGCCATTGTTACAAAAGTACTAAGATCTCCTCCACAAGTTCCACCACAAAGGCTAAACCACAGTTTCCGCCACACAGGTTATCACCACAGTTTCCGCCACACAGGTTATCACACCACACAGGTTTTTCGCCACACAGGTTTATCACCACACACCTAGTTTCCGCCACACAGGTTTATCACCACACAGCTTTTTTCGTCACACAGGTTAACGTTTATCACCGTCCCAGTTTCTGCCACACAGGCTGCACCACACAGGATTTCCAACAACACAGTGCCAACAGTTTCCGCCACATAGGCTACGCAACACAGGTTTTCCAACGAACAGTTTCTGCCACGCAGAGTCGTAACAGTAGGGCAGATAGTACTATTAGATCTTGCCATAGGAACACATGCTTAAATACACTATTTCAACACCTCATGAAAGTACTTGCCCATACTTCAATCTCAAAATTTTTTCTGCACCAGGTAGCAACAAGGGTCTGATTCCCAAAAATAGAAAGGAAACAGGGGGTTGACCATCTCAAATTCCCGCCACAGCTGATGATAGTAAAAAAAACCTCAACTTTGACCTACATTTTCCTTGGTATCCATCCGACCTAGCCACTCACATCTCTCACTACGCCCACTAAACTGGTGAAATAAACAAAACTTGACCAATGTAGGAAAGTTTAGACCCTACCTGTGCCTTCCAGCCCAAAAATCTCCAAAATGGAACAAAGTTTTCAAGAGAAAAAGGATTTTCAAAGGTATTAACTAGGCACTACAATCCCATTTTTTGGCCTCTACTGCGCAACGCAAATGTGGTGTCTGCCCAGTAATACCTCAGGGCCTGGAGGCCCCGGATGTTGACCCACTAAACTCTTGACTTGAGGTACTACCGATGGCCGGATTTCATGACCACTTTCGCAAGGTTAGAACCGGTTTTCAAGACAGTAAAAATTGATTGAAATCTAAAAATGCCACAGTCCCTTAGACCCTTAGACCCCTTCCCCAACACACTGTTGTAGAACATCCTTTGTTCAAGCCTCCAATTGTCCAAATCAGCGCACACCGCCGCAGGTGACTCCTTACAGGTCACTCTTGTTCTGTTTCAAGTGGCATAGACAATTTGCAAAACGACCTGCACACACACACACACACACACACACACACACACACACACACACACATACACACACACACACAAAACTAGTTAACAGCTGTTATATCTTGCATTATATGTTGTACTGTATTGTATTACACGTCATATCTTCGTCACAACGTACGCCATGGCACCTATAGCATTAAATAACCCAATGGTCAAGGCCGTATGACAGACAAACCTACGATACAATAGCCACCTGGTGGGGTCGTGTGGCGCAGCGGCAGCGTTCTCGACTCGGAACCAGAGGCCCCGGGTTCGAGTCCTGACATGCCACCGATCTTGTACCCTTGGGAAAGGCACTTTACACGACTTTCCTCACTTCGCTCAGGTGAAAATGAGTATTGTTCTGTCCCTGTGTTGGTGGCGGCATTAATATAAGTTGAGAAAACTTGAGTGTGCCGTCATCACGTCTTGTGATTGCATGTTTCGGAATATATATAAAAAAAAAATAGCCACCTGGTGTTTTACTCCGTTAAATTTGAGGTACTTGTTTCAGGACTAAACACACACACAATCACACACACACACACAAACAAACGCACAAATTATGCTTGAACGTGCTTTGTAAGCTTTGACATCACTTAGGCTAGTTATCAAGTTACTTCACTCTAATGAACCGAATTACCAAGAAAAGTAACCAATATACTCATCTTACCTTGAGGTGCGTAGTTTAAACTTGCTAGATATTGGATACACTTCAGGGGTATTGCAGTATACTAGTAAAAGCCGATGTGGGGTCGTGTGGCGTAGCGGCAGAGTGCGCGACTCGGAACTTAGAGTCCCGGGTTCGAGTCCTGACATGCCACCGATCTTGTGCCCTTGGGAAAGGCACTTTACACGACTTTCCTAACTTAGCTCAGGTGTAAATGAGTATTGTCCTGTCATGTATTTGTCCCCTGTGTTAGTTGAAAAAACTTGGACGGTACCAAGTAAATAGGGGTGGTCGTGAAACTTCGTGCCACTATTCACCTTCATTAAATGACCACTATTTAATATATTTGTCAGTAATCAATACATAATTCCATCGATATATTTGAAAGATCCTGCACACATTATAAGCTAATAGTCGTCTACAAAACGTTGGTTCATAAGGCCATGTTGATTTGATTATACGGATGAGATCCGCGTGCCTCTACCGAATTGAAGTCAGTTTTGTAGAGATGAAGATGCGAGGGTGACTATTGTCAGAGTGCTGTGCCCACGATAAAGGTAGAAAAAAGTCCTAAATGGACATTCGGTGAATGCCATCATTGATCTTATTGCTAAGTAGCTATGTCGTTTTGTTGGGCCTTTTGCAATAGCCAATGGCTGTGTTACCTTTTAATCAAAATGCCATACAACGATATCAATTGACATGAAAGGTTATTAGGAAATAGATTCATACTATACATGTAATTTAGTATAGCAGTGCTAAAGAAGAGTGATGCATGTCACTCGAAACGCCCGGAAGCAATTTCAATGATGTATCGAGCAATATTCAGATCTATTAGTTTTACACTGTATACATTTAATATCATTTCATGACTAATGGTCGCTTCTCATCATTGACTTTGTCATTTTTGCTACCGTCTCGTTGAATTTCGTCATCTTTAATTTCGCCATTTTGATCCGAAAATAGATTTTGCTACATGCAATCATAAAATGTCCTTGATCAATGAGACAAATAAAAACAAAGAAAATGAGGTATAAGATCTCCGAATTCTTGTTGCACTTAATTTTCGAAGCATTTCTTATGTCACTCCGCTTGTTATAGTAAGGAGGAGAAGGCATTAGAACGTGGATAACTATCACGACGAAAAAAATCGCCTTTTAATCGTTAATCCTCAAACACCCAAACTTGTTTTGTGACGGAAATGACCGAACGGGGTCCAACTGGACCCCATTTGTTTTCTTTTAAATTTATCTTCCTTTTTGCATTCTTTTAGTGATTTTAGTGAGTTGTAAAAATTTCCAGCTCATTATCATAATTTATGCAAAAACAGGATGAGGCCTGCAGGCATGAACATGGGGTTGACCTTTGACCTCATATGATTGTCAAATTGTTAAACTTCTGAAAGCCTGATGACCTAATACCTGAGGTTGAGGTTACTTGGCAAACTGCATAATATTAAAGCAATAATGCTTCCTTGAAGACATATTGGTCCAAATGGACCCCGTTCGGGCGTTTGAGGGTTAAGCGCTCCCTACATCTGCTTGGAGACTACAGTGCCCCCGAGGGCATGTTTAGAGGGTTACGTCATGAAGGTAACACGAGCCACGCCCAACACAAAAGCGTCCCGGCACCACGATGAAAGTGATACTGCAAACCTTTAGAAAACAGACCGAGCGGCGAACAGCCATATTACAAGCACGCCCATTGTGTAGCGTGTAGAAAATATCCCTACAAAATCATACCTCAATTCGTTATTTTTCTCAGTTTCACAGTATTTGTACATTCTTAAGAAACGAGAAGATATCCAATGGCTTGTCACATGAAAAAGAAAATTCTGGGCCAAGTCATTATGTCACCCTTGACCTTTTTTGGCACCGGAGGCGTATGAGGAAGTAGAATGAGGAAGTTGTTCGCCCACAGAAGACTTTCAACTTGTCACGACGAACAAGTACTTTTAGTGGGAAGTTAGCTACTTCTCTGCCGTGTTCTTGAAGTGTACTGAGAAGGGAGAAGCTACTGTTGGACTCCCTTGGCCAAAGAAGGAAATCATGGGGTGGAAAGAAGGAGTTATCCCGCTGTTTTGTGTCGCCTGGCTCGGTCTAATCAACGGTGTCGTAGGTAAGAAGACGTTTTCTTACCACCGAGTAAGGTCATATAGCTAGTTCAAGGGCATTTTGTTGTGTTAAAGTCACCTTAGTACGGTTCAAGATAACACTAAAAACTACTTAAACGTGATTAATACATAACCATGTACAGTTTAAATCATTTTTATGTGAATGTGTCATTCCTTTAAATACTACAGACCTCTGAAACCTTATGTCAGGAAAATACAGTGTGACAAAATGGTGTTATAGCTACATAGTGTTACATGTGTTTGTGTTTCAGCTGAAGAATGTTACGTAGCTTACAAGTGAGATTCGTTGTCCAATTTAATACAAGTTGTATTTTGGTCATGGCCGTATGAAAATGCAACGTAGCATCATAGTAGTTTCAGTTTTGTCCATACACAAAGTATAAATGTTTAGAACCTGTGGGGCCCAATTCTTAAACGTAGAACACAGAACACACAAAAAAAGTTCTTGTGTGCTCTGTCTTCTACACTTGTAACGTTACGGGGGAGGGGGGCATACTTCCGTAAAGAAACCGGGAGGAGTTGAGAGATTGTTTCTGTCATGGACTACACTACGTTGAGTGTTGCATCATTGTACTCAGATAAGAATTGAAGTGAAACGTATTCATGTAGGCATTACAAGATCAAATCATGTGATGGTGGTATGTACAGTTGATTGATCACCTTTATTCATGGTCACGTTTGCATAAGCACACCTGCGTGGTACGTACATAACATGCCCGTGGTCAGAAATTTGAATGGGGAGGGGGGAGGGGTTATTCCCACTGACTGAGTGAGGGACCAGCGAGCGTCGTATGTGCGAGATTCCTAGCTATAGGGTGGTCCGGGGGCATCCTCCTTCGGGAAATTTTGAAATTTCAACCTTACGAAGTGGCATTTCCTGCCTTTTTTGACATAATTTCAATGGAAAAATCAGAGATAACTTTTTCTTCAATGACAAAGTGAGCAGTTCTTCCATGATTCCAGCCCCACTGGTGATACAAATCATTCTACTTTTTAAAGAAATATCTTGGTTGGACCTTTTCTCCCCCCCCCCCCAGGCTATGGGTATGACTATGACGTCGTAAGGTCGTGGTACGGTCGGAAATAGGTGAGGACACTCTTGGAGCAGTCATGCATGTGTCCTGCATGATTCAGCTGTCTTGTTCTACCCCCTTTCCACTCAGACGGCGCTCTCACGACGCTCTCTCTCTGCGACCTGAAATTGGGCAGAGCGCGAAGAGAGCGCCATGAGAGCGCCGAGGTCGCCATGTTTTTTTATCTAAATTAATGTTGGGGCCGTTGTGCGCTCTCATGGCGCTCGCTTTGCGTTCTCACGGCGCTCTCTTCGCGCTCTCACGACGCTCGTCGTTGCATCGCCGTCATCGGCGCTGTCACGGCGATGGTATGACCCGGTTCCATACCATCGCCGAGGTGACTTGGCGACCTTCGCGCTGGTCGCAGAGAGAGCGCGGTGAGAGCGCCGTCTGAGTGGATAGGGAGCCTTACGGAACATGCTATCTCGGATTCTTGTCGGTGGTTGGTTCTGTCCAAGTCTGATTGCACCAATTCTGACGCATAAAAGCAGTACAACTTACTACATGTCTATGAAGTCATGCTAACGTTACAAGGGATGGAAATATGTTGTCATAACTATCACAGTCTATTAGCATTAGCTTTAAAATGTACATGCAGGTACTAGGTTTCATCATTTGTTATTAGGTGAAAGGGACATGATAGTTGCTTGTTCACTGTGCTTTCGGCACGGTACTGAATTGTTTTGAAGGTACTCTCCTACCACCTTGCACATAGTTTGCCACCTCTTCGCATATTTACACATGGGTGGATCAGTGAGGAAAGTCGTGTTAAACAAGTGCTTTTTTTCCAAGGACAAAACGCATAGTGAGGAAAATCAGGATTCAATCTCGTGACCCCTCGATCCCGTGTCCGCTAGCCAACTTTTAATACTCGTACATGCCGCAGAACATATGACAATGCATGTAACACGATCGTTTCCTTCTTTCGTACTGAAGTTGTACAATTCGTCTTATAGAATAAAGGAAAGAGGAAGTTTTCCTTGACAATGTTCTTTTGTTGAGCTGTATTTTTACCCTTGGCAAAAGGGACATTTCAAAAACAGCGGCCAATATAGGGGAGGGGGGAATGTGGTAAGTGCACTTAAATATGATTATCATATAGCCGGACGGCGCGGACCAATCAGAGGCCCGGATACCCGTGCTGTTATTTCCCGATAACAGCACATGTGGTGTTATGGCGGAATAACAGCACATGTCGTGTTATGGCTGATACCATTATGTTATAGGGTATAGGGGCATGCGACTCTTTCTGTAAACCTTTGTAGCATTTTTCTGTCCAATAAACTTTTTTGTTTAGCTTCATTTAAACTACAATTTGCATTAAATGAAATTATCAATATTTGTTTTAAAGCGTATAATATATTCGAATGTATTTTTATGTATGTATATATATTAAAGCTGTTGTATTTCAAACAGGAATTGTGTTGATTGACAGTTTGGATAGGCTATATGATAATAATTTTAATGCACTGCCTTTTCCTCGTTGTATATGGTGTCATAACTGCATGGGCAGCTGCCATAACCACCTCATAAACCACCTCGTTCGCTTCGCTCACACGGTGGTTAATTCGGTGGTTATGGTAGCTGCTCATGCAGTTATGACACCATATACAACTCGGGGCAGTGCATTAACCCTTTATTATACAACATGTATTAGGCCACACCGAGTTAATTTTATGGATGACATCCTCTGAAGACCCCCCAACTAGTGCGCGCGGGCGAAAAAAAAATTCCGGCCCCAAAAAAATGATACTAAACCACAGGAATACAAAGCTGGTATTTTGAATTTGCGGCAGTACTCAGCGACGTATACAACAAGCCGGCACAAGCTGGCTTTTTGCGGAATTTATGGATCAGCACTGTTGACTTCTTGAGTTGTGGAGCTTCGGTAGCCTGGATGCCTGGCTCCGTATTGCTGCCATGGACTACCCAGGCCTAGAGCCAGGCCAGAGCCTCGGTAGACGTGATCTTTTTTTTTTGACAACAGGGGAAAATCAATGCGTGCGCGGATGTCATCCATAAAATTAAGTCGGTGTGGCGCTACATGTATTATCTTTAGGTTTGGTCACCGACCCCCTATGATTAATGATACACCCCCGTTATTTAGCGTGATAACAAAGGCGAACGTACATCTGGTACATTAATTACATAATGTTGTACCCAGCCTACTAGTAGTATTTCATGAAGTGTGTGCGTCACATAATGTAAATAACCTGGGGCTTAAGTAGTCTGGGCACAAAGCCAGCGTGCTGAAGTGGAAGAAAGTGAGTAAATCATGTCCTGTCTCATTGAATTATAGTGACTTAGACCAATGTGACATGGTGCACTTTCTTTGTACATTACGCTCTGACCCCGTGATAGCAATCCTCATGCATTTTAATGTGTACACACAAACACACACTCACACACCACACAAACACACACACACACACAACACACACACACACACACACACACACACACACACACAACCGCCTCACCACATTTCCTGTCGTTAACCGTGTGAGATAGCTTCTCTACCAGGCTTCGAAAGCGGCTGAAAAGAAAAAAAAATGGACAAATGGACAGATATAACATGCCATGGTACTCATAAAATGTACTCTCTAGTGGACAAACTCCCCTTGCGTGTTATCTGTCCATTTGGACAATATCTACTGTTTCCAGTCGCTTCCGAAATCTGGTAGGGCCTTACGTGTGAGCCATAGTCAACAACGTCAGTTATGACAGCCACTTATATATATACATAGTTAATTTGACCAATAGAAGTGTGGCATTCAGCGGTTCAACCAATGAGAAAGTAGAGTGAGGCAAGGTCTGTTGGCGTGTTTCTACTGTTACAGTAATGGGGTATTGACCTGGGCGTTGACAGTATAAACAGACCATATGTACAGACTCATTGTTAAACCTGTCAATTCAGTCTAACAGGTACTGCTAGCCTGGAGTTCAGCCCTGTTAGTGGTGTGGGGCTTGTTAAGAACGTACCTTTAGTTAGTACAGTGTTAGTAGGGTATATAACGCACCAAAGCTAACAATACAGTACTCCAGGCTAGTGATAATGTGCATGCATGTTCATTACTACGGTAAACTGTAACAGTTGACTTTCCAATAATCTTTGCAACATTAAAAAAAATATATTGGTTTAGTATTTATTGGTCGATACCTTTCGTGTCTGTCACAGTTTCAGTGGCCTGTAAAAAGAGTTTCAGCATAAAAACTGCTCTTCCCCAGTGTTATGCATATTGTCCACATCACACCATGCATTGTCATTTTTTAAAATAATTTCCAACATGTAATCACAAGACGTGGTGACAGAACACTCAAGTTTTTCAAACTTATATTAATGCCGCCACCAACACAGGGGACAATACAATACTCATTTTCACCTGAGCGAAGTGAGGAAAGTCGTGTAAAGTGCCGGCGCCTTTCCCAAGGGCACAAGATCGGTGGCATGTCAGGACTCAAACCCGGGACCTCTAGGTTCCGAGTCGAGAACTCTGCCGCTACGCCACACGACACCATGCGTTGTCATATTTGAGAAACTCCCATCATTGTGTTTCGTTGGCAAGGCTTCCATACCTGTACTGGGAAAGCCATGTTCATTGACGCACGATTCTGTTCTCGGAAATGCCCGCCTACATCCTGCAATTGTACTGCTGACGTCTCGCCCATAACAATGTGGCATGACCTTCTTTGTTTTTGGAACACGCAGAATGAAAGCTAACACCACACTTCCTCTGTGAGTCTAATTTTTGTGTGTGTGTTGGCACTTGCATGCAGTTCAATCTTGTTTCATAATGACTTCTACCAACCAAGAGGAACTTTCAAGATACCATACTTCCTCTGTTCTCGTTGTTGCTTTTGCAAACTCATTATGACTGCAAAAATGAGGCATAAGAAATATTTGCAATATAGTTTAAGTTTATATTTTATTTAGATCCACAATACAATACCCTTTGAATGAGATGCCATTCTTAAACAGTTTGCTAAACAACAACGTGTAGAAGAATCCTTTAATTCTTCATGTATTTTATTTTATTTTACTTGTTGTGACTAAGATGTATGTGACTGTGACCAGAATACCGTTACTGATTTTACTGTCCTTACGTTTTATTACCATAGATTTTAACTAATTGTATATGGTGATAATGGTTTTAGACAATAATACTGAGCAAGTCAAGTGTTTTTATCTTTCTATGTATATATACGAACACACAATTCAGCCCTGTGGGCTGCCAGTTGTTCAGTTGAAGTTAACCAATTATTATTATAATGTCAAACTTACACTCTACAAAAATACTTTGCATAGTTACATCGATCATACGATTCGTCACTATATGTGTGGATATCACTATCTTAGCATGGGTAAAATGATGATTTTAAGACACCTCCGCGATGGGAAGAATGAAAAAAGGAAGGAGAGTGTTCTCTATGTTACTGTTGTTAACTAATTTTGACTGCAAATACATCTGAGGCATAAAACCTATTTGCAACTCAATATCCTTTGAAGATATTAAACTTACACTCAACAAAAATTCTTTGTATTCTTTCATCGATTATAAGGTTTAGAGTAGTCAGGTTTCAAGTATAAATATGGGGTGAGGTTTTGATTTTTTTTGGTTGCACCTCGTTTACACTGATATAGTACTACGCTCCTGAAAATGTAAAGGCGTGTCAAGTATGCTATTCATTGCTTAGGGGTGGGAGGTAAATATATAATATATAAAACGCATGAAAATTGCAGAACTCAAGTAAAACGTATGATTTTTGGCAACACCTCAAGGGTGGAGTGAACATCCGGCTATTGAAGATAACCAGTAAATATGATATGGCTTCAAACTATCCAGAGGCCAATACTAAATTCTGACGAGTCCTCCGGATGGAAGTAAAGCAATGTATAGTCACTGTGTTAAACGTTGCATTTTTGGCAACGCCTCAGGGGCGGAGTATTTTTCTGGCATTTTGAAAAAAAATGTCTCATTCGTCCGTTACAGGCACAACCCCGCCGCAGGACTGTGCGGACCTGTTCGCCGCCGGGACCCGTCAGAGCGGGACCTACACAGTCGGCGAGCCCAGTCCGTACCGGGTCTACTGTGACATGAGCTTCCTGGGCGGCGGGTGGACCGTCCTTCAGCGCCGGCAAGACGGATCCGTGGACTTCGCTAAGAACTGGGCTGACTACCAGCAAGGGTTCGGCGACCTGACCGGAGAGTTTTGGTTAGGGCTGGACAACATTCACACACTAACAACGGTAAAGAGTAACAACATTCTACAGATTGAGCTGGAAGATTTTGATGGCGGTAGGAGGTACGCGCGGTACGGCATGTTTTCAGTCGGGGACGAGAGCGGGAATTATGTAGTGTCCATCTCTGGGTACAGTGGAGACGCAGGCAACAGCCTCACCAACACTGGCAATAGAGGAAGAAGCAACATAAACGGCAGAATGTTCTCTACCATAGATCGAGATAATGACGGAAACACCGGAACGGATTGTGCCTCTGTATTCAGTAATGGTGGGTGGTGGTATCCACTTGGTTGTGGACAGTCGTTCTTGAACGGACGGTATAACTGTCATCAGAGTTCTGTCAACTGTGGTAATTCACAGGGAGTCGTCTGGTCGAGTTGGGGAGGTGCAAGCTACTTCTTAAAGAAAACAACCATCATGATCAGGCCTGCTGACTTTACAGGTAAAAGAGATATTTCAGATTTACATTAGTGAGAATTATTCTGAAGTTCGCTGAATGTAGTCTCAATTGACTTGCTTTTGTAATGTAGTATATGTTTCTCAACGTACTAGCATCTGCGAAATATCATGACATATGACTACTACGACACCATTTTTTTTACCAGGGTCAAATGTCCCCGACGACTGTGCCGACCTCTACGAAGCTGGGATCATAGAAAGTGGAGTCAACGCCGTCAGCGATCCCCGCGCCTTCGTCTACTGCGACATGATGAAGTCAGGCGGCGGGTGGACCGTGTTCCAGCGCCGCCAGGACGGGTCCGTGGACTTCGCTAAGAACTGGGCAGACTACCGGCAAGGTTTCGGCGACCTGACAGGAGAACACTGGCTTGGACTGAACAAGCAGAACCAAATTACGGTACAGAAGACGTACAGTTTGCGGGTAGATTTGGAAGATTGGGAAAGTCAATTTAGATATGCCACGTACAGTAACTTCGGTGTTGGAAGCAGCAGTACGGACTATCAGGTCAGCATCAGTGGCTACTCTGGTGATGCCGGAGACAGTCTCACAAGCGGTGGCAGTCGTTTTAACATCAATGGTATAAGGTTCACGACATCAGACGACAACAATGGGCCCAATAGTAATAACTGTGCAAGTAGCTTTGGTGGAGGTGGATGGTGGTTTCCAGATAGCTGCGGGTATGCCCTCCTGAACGGGCGGTACAACGACTCGGGAAGTGCACAGGGGGTTAACTGGCAAAAATGGAGAGGTTACGGGTACTCTCTAAAGATGTCGTCACTGAAAGTAAGGCCAGCAAGCTTTTCGGGTAAGACCAATTTCTAATCAAAATACTTACAAACATTGTTGCTAAAATCGTTATCTTTGTATGATTCTCTTACACGTAGGTTTGCATGCTTAGTAGCATACAGTACTGTTATTCATTACCGTTTTGTTACTTTATTATACCTTACTATAACATTTTCTGTATTGCTGTATTGTGTACCACATATAATGAAACCCGCGGCGTAATGGTAAGAGCAGTTACATCAGCACCATGATTTTTCGGGTTCAATCTACTAACATTTCTGACACTGTGAAGTTGGGAAAGGCACTTTACTTCATGGGTGGTCGCCCACTGCAATGTCGGCTTAATTGTGGACACTGTATCCTAACTTAAACAGATTTGGTGTTACCAAATTGTGTCAAGATCTGCTCGTTTGCCACAGAGAACCGTAGCTGTATGTTAGCCCTTTAAAGAGGAGGTCCACGTGAGTCGCTTTCCTTCCTTCCAGTTTGCCCTGTCGCCGGAACGTTTGGAGATTGTTCCAGCACCTGCCGATGCTTAGACGGAAACGCTGCCTGTAACCAGAGGACTGGGTCCTGTTTGGGATTATGTGCCAGAGGGTGGATGGGCAGTGACTGTCAAACAGGTAATTTTATGCCAATATTAAAATATATCCAAGTCAGATTTCTAAATGATAGAAGTAAAACGCCATGTTCTGCTGAGAGGTTTGATTTCAAACAGCATTTTTTGTCTCCCAGTCATTACTCCACTATCACATAAAATCTACACTTGACTTACTTTGATAAAGTACAAAATACTGTCTGTCTGAAACTAGAATTATCTAGATAATATTATGTGATGAAAATGTCAGAGTTAAAAATGTACAATTTATATTTTGGAGATTTAACCACCATATATACATTCGACAACCGATGCATTTGTAAGTTTTTTTTTCAAGTTTTCAGTTCTAGATATTTGAGTGTTTGATATGTGGACTGGTAAGGTGTTATACGTTTTTCGTGTTCCTGTAAAAAATCGTGGGATTTCGTTTTGGGCACTGGCAAATTGTGGTATCCATTTCAATTCTTACACATATTTCCTTTTCCTCTTCCCAAGCATGTTCCCTAGGAACGTATGGTCCAAGCTGCAGCGGCACCTGTCGCTGTTCCGGCGGAAATGCAGCCTGTGACATAGAGACGGGTGTCTGTAGTCCTGCTGGGTGCATCGATGGATGGGTGGGTCAATCTTGTGACACAGGTAATAATAATAAATGGTTTTTATTGTCCAAACAGTACCCGTGCAGTCGCAGCCTGTATACGGCTGAATTGATGCAGGGTATCACATAATCAATACAAATCACAACAATTATAACAATCAAATAATACACATGATACACATATTTGTCGCAAGGGTCTGTGCGGCTGCCATTCGGCGCCACAAGGTGACCTCAATACGACTTTCCCCAACCGAAGTTAGGTACCCATTTACACCTGGGTGGAGTGAGGAAAGTCGTGTAAAGTGCCTTTCCCAAGGGCACAACGTCGGGGCGCATGTTCAGACATGTACCGGATACGACTCGGAATCGAACCCGGGTCTCCCGGTTCATAGTCGATTGCTCTATCCACTACACCACCCGACGCCACGTCCACTACACCACCCGACGCCACCCGTAACCAGCTTAATTTTCATTTGGCCCCGCTCCTATTTTTTGTCAAGGAATTTCCCTTCTAAAATGTTTTTTTTTAACTGACAGTGTATTGTTTTACTTTTCTAACGGAAGTCTTTCACAGTATTGTAATACCATCCCGTAAACAATTGTTCTCTGCTTGGTCTTTGGAAAGATTTAGTTTGACACACAAGTTTAGTCGTAATATTTGCTTACCGTGGCCGATAGGGCCAGGGATAATTCTGCTCAACACACTGACATTTGTCTTCTCCACACTGACTTTTGCCTTCCCTACACTGACTTTTGTCTTCTCCACAATAACTTTTGCCTTCCCTACACTGACTTTGTCTTCACTGACAAAAGTTGTGTAGGGAAGACAAAAGTCAGTGCACGGAAGACAAAAGTCAGTGTGTTGAGCAGAATTGTCCCTATCGGCCACGGTATTTGCTCAACTACTTAACACGAATGATATTATCATTCACACAGCACCAGCCCAGTTTATGGAACCTGTGCCCCAAGACCAAGCCGAAGATGCCGGACAAAGCGTTTCTTGGACCTGCAAGGCGAAAGGCTTTCCCTTTCCAGACATCACCTGGCAACATGGGGGCAATGACCTTACGGCCGACGGAAGTGACATCACGATCGTCACCTCGCATGGCAGCAACGGAAATGACGTATACACCGAGAGTACCCTCACCATCAGCAGTGTGGGGCGCCGACACGATGGAGCCTACACCTGTTCAGCTTCTAACAGTGGAGCAAGTCCGCAGACATCTTTCTCTTTAGCTGTCAGAGGTACGTGGTCAACTAGGCTGCTAGTTGAAATGTGTTAATATTTTGTCATACACATGTACTTACTTCCTCAGTTTATGCCACCTGAACGTTGTTCCTTCTTTTCATTTTTTTTAAATATTGCAACATATAATCACGAGACGTGGTGACGGCACACTCAAGTGTTTTCAACTTATGTTAATGCCGCCACCAATGCAGAGGACAATACAATATACTTATTTTCAACTGAGCGAAGTGAGGAAAGTCGTGTAAAGTGCCTTTACCAAGGGCACAAGATCGGTGACATGTCTGGACTCGAACCCGGGACCTCTTGGTTCCAAATTAAGCACTCTACCCCACATCTTTTCAATATAATTCTTTTATTGAAACATTTATGTTCGAGTAAACAGTAACAATATGCATGTCTGGTTCTGTTTCACAGACAGACCGGACAAGCCTAGTATCAACAGTGGCTTCGTATCAGCACTTACGTCCATCACAATCACGTGGTCATTTCCTGTATACACCGGCAACCTGGACATAACCGGAAGCCTCATAGAGTATCGGGAATTGTCGGCAACATCTTGGACAATGGCAAACATTGAAGGGCAGCTCAACACTCACACCTTCTCAGACCTGCAGCCTTTTACCGTGTTTCAAGTCAGGGTGTCTGTACGAAACGCCCGCGGGTACAGCGACACAACCGATCCAGTCCGCATTTGGAGTGGTGAGCTTCATTTCTTTTATCTATTTTCTGTTTTTCTGTAGTATACGGCTATTATTATGGTTATTGAAATAAAAAATATGGTTTTTGCTCTGTTTCTTCTTCCTCTTCGTCTCCAAACACTGATAAGGTCAATGACCATGGTAACTAGTGTTATGTTACACCATGTTTCAATTTTATAGCAGGAGGTATTTAGACTCCTGTCACCATATATATACCATATATATATATATATATATACCAAATGTTACCTTTCTAGTTAGACCTTTTTTATAAATAGGGAATTGAATTCCAGCAATTCACTAACATTAGTTGAATTGAGTTTTTTTTTTCATTTTTGTGAGATTATTAGAAATTGTGATTTATAAGAAACTGTTTTGCTATACGTATTATGGGATAAATAATCATAAGTCCATCATTTAATTAAATATTATGCTGATACTGAATCACAAAAATATCTTTTTTAGCTTTAACTCTTAAGAGTTGGAGTGAGATATGGATATTTTATTACAGCTCCTGGTAAGGTACAACAGCTTGACAGAGAAATAATTTCTGTGTCGGAGATGAGCCTGACGTGGGCGTCCCCAGATCCTACAAAGCCCCAGGACATCATATCACATTACGTAGTTGCCTACGGAACCAGCGAAGACACCATTGCAGACCTCGGGACAATCATCAACGGAGAAACCGTAATGTTATCCGGTCTAACACCCGGCAACACCTACATCTGTAAAGTATGGGCGGTGACGACCGCTGGTAGAGGTGAAGATGAGACGAAACGCATACTGTTTGAGTATAGTAAGTGTCATCTATACCTAAGGTTTTTACTTCCATCTATAACTGCATATCGTTCAATCGTTCTGATGGTGCGATGTTCGTTCATTCACCAATCTTTGTTAATATGTGAGGTAGATTTACATAATTGGTGCTATATGACATGTTATATGGCATACTATGTATTTACAGTCTTACAGTTGCATTACATGTAAGTTCTTTAATTTCATTTGATGCTTCCAGTCTGACCTTTTGACTCGAACTTGGATTTCTGTACCTATGTTCATGTTTATGTTTTGGTGTCTTATAACTATATTAGCCAATATGGGCTGGGCGACAAAAGTCGCAAGACACGTAAATAGAAATTCATTAATTAATTAATTAATTAATTCATTCATTCATTCATTCATTCATTCATCCATTCATTCATTCATTCATTCATTCATTCATTCATTCATTCATTCATTCATTCATTCATCCATCTATTCATTTATTCATTTATACCACCGGACAAGACAGAGTAAACAAGAGTCGGCCAGGGACTTGCAAGATGTGCTAAAAGTCTCTCTAGACTCAACGTATTTTTCAACGTTTTGCTACTATCGCGCTATTGCTGAAACAATGATCTTTCTGTTTTTCAGTTCCAAGCCAACCATTGAATGTTGAAGTAAACAACGTGGGAAACTGCGCCTGCCTATCTGGTAGGATAACAGATAAAGCCTCGGTGACAGTCAGTTGGGGCCAACCAGCATCACCCAATGGACAGATTGTGGGATACCACCTCTCCTACAGCACAGACGGCCAAAGTGAAACGCTTCAGACATTTACTACAAATGACGTTACACAGCAAATCAACAACCTTCAGTTGCAATCAAAATACACTCTAACGGTAAGTAAAAACACAATACATTATAATTTTTATGCTTATTTATGTGCATAATTGGTATGTTAAACTTTACCTACCTCTTTTATTGATGATCTTTTTATTTATTTTTCAAATGAAGGTTACTGCTTATAATTCCCTTTTCAATGGGACTGGAAGTGAAGTTGCGACTATGACGACGAACGAAGGCTGTAAGTATTTATGCAATATTTGTGAAATATTCTAATGGTATTTTCAAGATGACTCATTCTTTAGAAGTGTGTTAGCCATCACTGCAAATGACATAATATTGTCCCCACAGGTCCTGGCCCACCAGTTGATGTCCAAGCTGAACAAATGTCTGTTGACTCTGCTGTCCACTGCAACATAAGTTGGACTGCTCCTGTGGTGACAAATGGTGTTATCACTGGCTACAAGGTACTTCATACCCTTATTTTAATAAATGTTTTGCAAGTCACTGATTTTGTTGGTTTTTTGTTTTAATCATTGAGGTACTTTGAAAATTTCTTATCATTGACATACTATGTGGGGTTCGAGTGTAATCTTCTGACTTGTACAATACAGGTACACTATAGAACGTCTTGGAATCAAGTGCCGAGCTATTCCAACGAAAATACGGAAGCCCTGTCGGAAGCCACAGTGACGAACGCGATGGGTACAATAAAGGAGCTAGGCCCGAACAAGAAGCTTAGCGTCAGGGTCTCTGCAACAACCTGTAACGACGGCGAGCCGTCAGAGGAGTCGGAATTCGTTTGTGTCAACGCTGCCATAGGTACCATTTATGTTTTATAGTCATTATCATATTGTCACGGTGTGTGTGTGCGTGTGCATGTGTGTACGTGTGTGTTTGTGTGTGTGTGTGTGTGTGTGTGTGTGTGTGTGTGTGTGTGTGTGTGTTGTGTGTT